ATGGTGTCTTCACATCCATATATACTGATTTACCTTCCTTTTGAGTCCTAGATTCCTGACCTTTTAAAGTATCCTAGCTGTCTTGAGAATCCTTGTGCTTTGCTAACAGAATTAATTGTCCTTTCCTTCCATCTCATCCCTCTGCCCCTCAGCTTTCTCTCTTTCTTCAGAGTGTTTAAACAACACGAAGATGGGTTTGTATCTTACCAGGTTGCATTTACCTGAAGCAGACAAGAAAGAAACTCTCTGGCCTAGCCCATTTGTCCTTTTAGAAAACTACAGCTGAAGTCCCCTGCAATGGAAGAACTCAGGCGCGCTGAAATCAGACAGGTCATTACTTGCAATGTGACTTACAAAAAGTAGCCCTTAACCCTTCTGGGGCAGAGTTGCTAACAGATCACCTAAAGAGACAAATTCAGTTAAGTGATGTTCTGAGTATAATGCATTGTGCATAGTGGTCACTCAATAGAAGGTGGTTATTACCAATTATCATGAGGCAATCATATGTCAGAAAGGCTCATTTAGAGTCAATCAGCTTTTACTTTTTAAGTTTACGTATTTCTTTGAGTATCTCTCCACCCAACGTGGGGCTCAAACTCAGAACCCTGAGATCAAGAGTTGTGTGCTCTACTAACTGAGCCAGTCAGGGGCCCGTCAATTGGATTTTATATCAAGGTTAGAAGACAGATCTCCATGTCCTGTGCTAGCCTGAAATAAATTAATCAGACAGGATCTTAGTCCTTGAGGAACTCACAACCAAATATGTGAAAGAGATAGTAACAAATAATTAATACATAGTGTAATAGATGAAGTAGCAGAATTGTGTGCAAAGTATTGGGACAACACAGAGGTGGCAATTAATTCTGCCTGGACAAATAGAGGACAAGTCATACCTCCTCCACCATAGTGACTGGTTTTAGCTTGTATGGATATCTAAAAGCTGTTGAGATTTTAGAAGTGAATTTTTATTTTTTCTAAAAGATTTTATTTATTTATTTATTTATTTATTTATTTATTTATTTATTTATTTAATAAAAAGAGAGAGAGCACACCATGGAGGAGGGCTACTTTTTGGGGACATAGACTTACCTACATAGTCCTTTGCACCTCCTTGGAAATTCAACAGAGAAAAAATTGATAAAACAATAGGATTAGGGACTTTGTAAAAAAGATTATTTATTTATTTACTTACTTACTTATTTACTTGAGGAATTTACTTATTAGAGAGAGAGACAGACAGCAAGCATAGCAGGGAGAGGGACAGAGGGAGAGGAAGAATCTCCAGCAGACTCCCCACTGTGGGGAGCCTGGTGTGGGGCGATCCCATGATCCAAAGATCATGACATGAGTCATCAAGTGTCCGACGCTCAACTGACTGAGCTACCCAGGCACCACAATAGGATAACATCTTGACAGGGTTTCTGACAACAAAATAAACCCCCTATCACTGAAGCCCCATTCATATTTATTGGGTTTTACACCTCTTCCTTGCTAAGAATAACAATAATAACATCAAAACAGTAGCAGCAATAATAATAGCAATAATATCAGGATGTCTGGGTGGCTCAGCAGTTGAGCATCTGCCTTTGGCTCAGGGCTTGATCTTGGGGTCCTGGGAAGGAGTCCCACATCAGGCTTCCTGCATGAGCCTGCTTCTCCCTCTGCCTCTCTCTCTCTCTGTCTTTCATGAATAAATAAATAAATAAATAAATAAATAAATAAATAAATAAATAAATAAATAATTAAAAATAGCAATAATAAAAATAACTGCATATTTGTTATTTCACTTTATGTTGACTTTATGTGACCATGTACTCCCTTCATACACAGAATTTATGTGCATATCTCTGTAATTAGAATTCAACATTGCTTTATAAATGTCTGTTTATGACTTGGCTTTCCTACTGATTTCTATCAGCCACTTAAAAAATTATGTATTTTTATGGTGTACAATATGATTTGATACACATATACATAGTGAAATGATTACTCATGTTTAAGCTAGTTAACATATAATTTCCTCATATAGTTATCTTTTTTTAGTTCTCTTTTTTGTGATCAGAGACCTAAATCTACTCTGTTAGCATATTTTCAGTATTCAATACAACATTATTAACTGTAGTCATCATGCTGTATATTAGATCTCTAAGCTTAATTTATCCTGCATGAAGGGAACTTTGTACCCTTTGACCAATATTTCCCCATTCTGCCCCCAACTCCTGCTCAAACCCCTAGTAATCACCAATCTATGCTCTGCTTCTATGAGTCCAACTATTTTATTTCATTAAAAACCTTTTGTTAAAGGAAACTCTACACCCAATGTGGGGTTCGAACTCATGACCCTGTGATTAAGAGTCATGTGTATGAGTCCAGCTACTTTAAATTCCATGTATAAGTGGGGAGCCTGCATGGCTCAGTTGGTTAAACGTCTGATTTTGGCTCAGGTCACGATCTCACTGTTGTGAGATTGAGGCCCGTGTGGAGGCTGCTTAAGATTCTCTCTTTTCCTCTCCCTTCGCCCCACCCCACTCATGCCCATGCACTCTCTCTCCTAAAATGTGTGTGTATATATATATACACACACACACATATATGTGTATGTATATATATATATATATATATATACACAGAGAGAGAGATTTTGTATATATATATGTATTTATACATATATAAATTCCACATATAAGTGAGATTATGGAGTATCTATTTTTCTGTGCCTGTCATTTCATTTAGCATGTTCTCCAGTTTCTTTTTTCTTTTCTTTTTTTAAGATTTTATTTATTCATGAGAGACAGAGAGGGAGAGAGGCAGAGACATAGACAGAGGGAGAACCAGGCTCCCTGTGGAGAACCCAATGCGGGACTCCATCCCAGGACCCCAGGATCACACCCTGAGCCAAATGCAGATACTCAACCATTGAGCCACCCAGGTGCCCCTGTCCTCCAGTGTCATCTATGTTGTCACAAATGATTGGATTTCCTTGTTTTTAAAGGCTGGTGTAATATTCCATTATATACTTACTATTTATACTGTTTTCCATTATGGTGATACCAGTCTATATGCCCACTAACAGTGTGTGGGGGTTTCCTTTTTTCCACATCATTGCCAAAACTTAGCTTTTGTTTTTTTTATAATAACCATTCTAATCGATGTGAGGTGATATCTCACTGTGCTTTTATTTTGCACTTCCCTGATGACTAGTGATATTGAGCATCTTTTTATACACTGTTGGCCATTTTTATGTCTTCTTCTGGGAAATGTCTGCGCAGGTCCTTTGTCCACTTTAAATTTTTTTTTAATTTTTATTTATTTATGATAGTCACATGAGAGAGAGAGAGAGAGAGAGGCAGAGACACAGGCAGAGGGAGAAGCAGGCTCCATGCACCGGGAGCCCGACGTGGGATTCGATCCCGGGTCTCCAGGATCGCGCCCTGGGCCAAAGGCAGGCACTAAACCACTGCGCCACCCAGGGATCCCCCTTTGTCCATTTTAAAAATTATTGACTTATGGGACATGTGGGTGGCTCAGCGGTTGAGCCTCTGCCCTCGGCTCAGGGTGTGATCCTGGAGTCCCGTGATCAAGTCCCACATTGGGACTCCTGCATGGAGCCTGCTTCTCCCTCTGCCTGTGTCTCTGCCTCTGTGTGTGTGTGTCTCTCATGAATAAAATCTTAAATTTTTTTTAAATTATTGACTTAAATTGACATACCATGTTATATTAATTTCAGGTGTACAACATATTGATTTGACACTTCTATACATTACTCAGTGCTCATTATGATAAGCGTAACCACCATCAGTCACCACACAAGGTTAGTACGGTATTACTATGTTCCCTATGCTGTACTTTTCATTTCTGTAACTTATTTTATAACTTAAATTTGTACCTCTTAATCCCCTTCATCTATTTTGCCCAATCCCACTCACGTTCCCTCTGGACCACCAATTTGTTCTCTGTATTTAAGAGTCTGTTTTGGTTTTAGATTCTACATATCAGTGAAATCATATGGTATTTGTCTTTCTCTTTTTGACTTATTTCACTTAGCATAATATTCTAGAGGTCCATTCACATTGTGGCAAATGCCTTTGCCCATTTTAAAATCGAATTGTTTTCTTGCTATTCAGTTGAATTCCTTATATTCTTTGGGTATTAACTCCTTAACAGATGTATGGTTTGCGACTGTTTTCTCCCATTCTGTAAGTTGTCTCTTCACTATGTTGATTGTTCCCTTTGCTGCACAGAAGCTTTTTACTTTGATTAAATTCTCTATGAGCCACTTAAGGGCAGGGATCATGTAATATTCATCTCTGTATTCCCAAGATTCAGTCAAAGGATTGGCACAAAGTCATGCTGAGCAAATGGTTTATGTGTGTAAAGAAAGTAAATGATTGTGCTGTGACTTTATTATCTCATATGAAAAGGGATGTATCAGGGGGAAAACACTTTGCATAAAGGATACTGAATTTGAAACTCAACTCTGCTCCAGTTGGTTGGCCCTAGACAAGTCTCTTAACCTCTTGGAATATCCTTATATATAAAAATCAAGTGATAATATTTCACTAAGAGGCTTCTGAGGCATAAATTGATGCTCTGAGCATAATGCATTGCACATAATGGTCACTCAAACGAAAGCAGTTATTATCAATTATCATGAGGCAACTGAATGTCAGAAAAGCTCACTTAGGGCCAAGCAGCTTATAAATCAAGGTTAGAAGTCAGATCTCCATGTCCTGTGCTAGCCACTGGAATGAATTAATTGAACAGGATCCCAGTCCTTGAGGAACTTACAATCAAATATGTGAAAGAGACAGTAACAGATAATACACAGCATGGTGGATGACATAGCAGAAACGTGTGCAAAGCATTGGGCCAACACAGAGGTGGCAATTAATTCTGCCTGGAATAGCTGCAGTGAAGGTGACACTTCAGCTGTAGTGAGGGCGGAGTCTTGGAGAGTTTTCTAGATACTGAGTCTCAGAAGCTACCGGAACCAAGGTGCTGCGGGCACTGAGTCTCGGTCGGATATCGTTAATGGACACGGTCGAGGCGTTCCGTTAGTGTTTTCAGACGCCAGGGGGATCGCTGCAGCTTGGGCGGGTCTTCAACTTAAACAGTTCCCGGCGGCAGCAACAAAGGATGAACGGAGCTCTGGGAAAGGTAACGTATTTCCACGCACGCAGGGCGCGGCAGAGGCGGTGGGGAGAGCAGAGCTGGGAGGTGGCGGCGAGGATATCCCCGCCTCTGCAGACATCCGGGTCTGAGACACCGGCGAGAACCAAGGTTCTCCCGGCAGCACACGCGGCGCCTTGTAGTCACGGGGCTGTGCTCCCTCCACTCCTTCCCCCGCGCGACCGGAGGCGCTGACCCGTGGGCCACGCCCCCTCCGCCAGCCACACTCGCCGCCCATTGGCCGGGAAGAAGAGCCCCACGGTGGGAATCTTGGAACCAGGATAAATTCCCATCATGTGTATGACCTTGAGCAGGTCACTTCAGTTTTGCACTACCAGAGTGGTTTCTAAGTTTACCGCTTTGGCTTGGTAACCTGATGGGGCTGTGAGGCTACTTGGCGATAAGAAAGGGGTAATAAACTAAATTTTTACCTTCAAAACCTTATTTAAATAACTGCAGTAAAAACCGTCTGAATCATGATAAATGAATGCATTCCTTGGTCTTCCCTTGCCCTCTTAACAGATTTCGGTTGTGTTCTTTTAGTTGTATAATGATGCTTAGGATAATGACTTACTTTTAGCAGTTTATGTTAAATTTTATTTTAGGCATTAATTGTAGAAATCTTATGTCCCTGATGTATATAGATCAGTATGATCTTTGCTGCTCATGGATCTACCAGTAGTTAATCTTGGGGTAGTCTCTGAATGTCGTCAGGCTTGCTGCCTTAATGGCTCAAACCTTACTTCTTTATAAAATAACTCATTAATATTCACTTTAGCGTAATTGTGAAAATTTGGCCACATCTGGTGAGAGGATAATAGGAGAAAAATCAGACAGTTTCAAAATTCCACTGTTACATATGGTCAGATTGGTGACTCCATGCTCCTCCATTTGCTTTGATTCTGAGGGCTGCTGAAAGGAAGGGATAGTTTTCAAGGCATACTGTTTCCTAACGTTCTATACTACAGGAGAGCCCATGTAAATCTGTCACTAGGGCATCACCTAAAGAAAAAAGGCCAGGCAGACCTCTCTAAGTCTGATGTCACTGTTATCTTCCAGATGCCCTTTTTACTGATTTTATTCTTCCACTCTGCCCTACTGCTTTGGCTAGAGAGTCTCACTTGCAGTGCCCACACTCTCCTCACCACCTATCCAAATGCTGCATTCTTCAACACCCAGCTCAGGTCTCATATTTTCCATAAAACTTTTCTGACTACTATGGCCAAAATGACTTTATTTTCTGAACTAGCTGCTTTATCTCTTGGCATCTAATCGTATGTAGTCTTGTGACCATCTTTGTCTCAGCCTGTCTGGCAGTGTTATTACTTTACCTTTACAAGGAAAACCCAGGGAATTTACATCAGACCTGGGTTCTATATCTTGCTATGTATATGACCTTAGGTGTGTTGTTTGACCTCTCTGAGCTTCAGTTTCATGTCTGTAAAATGCAAATAATGATGCCCACCATACGGAATCATTGTAAAGATTATAGAAGATAACGTAAATAAGAGTACTTGTAAGGTACGAAGGACTATATATGCAGGAATACTGATATTATTCTAAAGTTTATATATTGCTTTCATTGTCATAATTTCATTTGATTTTCACAGGCACAACAAATGAGGAAATGGAAGCTACTGGCACAGGGTCTGGTACATAATAGGTTCTCAGATGTTCCACTGAATGCCTGAATTGTTAAATGCTTTTCTATAATAGGTCTACAGCCATTTAAGTGGTAGAGCTGAGACTGGAGCCTAGTGTTTCTACCTCTCCCAAGACCCCACTGCTTTTCCTTTTTTGAGTATGTCACATCTCCATAGTTTGATAATCTTGGTTTTCTTCATCTGTGAAATGAATGAAAACCTTCCAAGTTGCCAATCCTTCCCTTCCCTATCCAGCCCATTACACTAATCTCACATTACAATGTAATAAATAATTTGCTCATCTACTAGATGAGCAAATTATTTTTCACTAGAAAAGATTTGAGGGTAGGCAACAATATTTTCCTTATGTGTATATGTACCCAGACTACAGTGTACTTGGCCTAAAGTAGTACATGTTAAATACTGAGTAAATAAGTGACTGAACAAAAGTTAACATTACATGTAAGTACATGGTGGAGCTGGGACTAGAACTTCAAATTCTTAGCTCACTACTCTTTCTTTGGAAACTCAAGAAGTTTTTAGCTTCTAGCCCTCTCACATTTTATTTTATTTTTTTAAAGATTTATTTATTTTTTTGAAAGAAAGAGAGAGAGAGAGCAGGCATATGAGCAAGGGGAGGAACAGAAACAAGGAGAGGGAGAGAATCTCCAGTAGACTCCTGCTGACCCTGGCGCCTGATGTGGGGCTCAATTCCAGGACCCTGAGATCATGACCTGAGCTGAAACCAAAAATTGAATGCTCAGCCAACTGAGCCATCCAGGCATCTCCCACTCACATTTTAGATGAGTGAAAAGCCCAACTTTACTGGAATAAAACTGGGTGGAATCTCATACCTCTCTGGTTCAATAGAAATAGTAAGTAGGAGTAGTTTTAAGACCATAATGGCTGAGGGGATGGGGTAACTGGTTGATGGACATTAAGGAGGGCACATGATGTAATGAGCATTGGGTATTATATAAGACTGATAAATCACTGACCTCTACTTATGAAACTAATATATTAAATGCTAATTAATTGAATTTAAATAATTTTTTAAAAAGACCATAATGCTGATATTCATCAAACCCCAGAAAACATACTGATCAATCAAGATGGCAGGATAATGTCTGTGGAAGTCAGAATCCACCAGGGAATGAGTAATGACTCACTTGCTGAGTTACTTTACACAGAAAATGGATGGTCCTTGAGTATCCAGTTTAGGTCTGGATATCACTTACCCTGAGATTACTGTTCTTTACTCAGGGATTACCATACCTCTGAACCACAAGGATATGGTTAGGTCAGGGGTGGTGATCACAAAAGGTATGCCAGGAGGAGTAACCTTGGGGACTGATCTCATAGTAAAAAACATTGAAGGCCAACATGGAGCAGAGTTCCTATGAATAAATAACAATGAGAACTGAAGCAAACAAACCCAACAGAAGTGAATTAGGAGGACATAAGATGTGAAATAGGAGGGCATAAATTTCAGGGTGCCTAGAAGGGCAGGGAATCTAAAAGCCCAGGAAAATGATCAAGAAGTTGGCTACTTCCTGGTCACTATTAGACTATAAGCTGTAGGACAGGGATATTTTACTAGTTTGTTCATGGCTTTATCTTCAGCAACTGTCATGCAGTAGAGTACATATTGTTTAATAAATGAGGAACTGAAAAATCACTACCGTTATCACTGCTACCAAGTTGATCATTAACAATATGTTTTGCACTTGCTAAGTCCTTTTCATATATTATCTAATGTAATCATGTCAACAACTATATGAGGTAAACATTTTTATAACTTCTTAAATTTTTTTTAAGATTTTATTTTTTTTATTCATGATTGAGAGAGAGAGAGAGAGGCAGAGACACAGGCAGAGGGAGAAGCAGGCTCCATGCAGGGAGCCTGGTGTGGGACTCGATCCCAGGTCTCCAAGATCACACCCTGGGCCGAAGGCAGGTGCTAAACCATTGAGCCACCAGGGATCCCCTATAACTTCTTTAAAGATAAGGAGGGGCACCTGAGTGGCTCGGTTGGTTGAATGTCCGTCCAACTCTTGGTTTTCAATCTTTTCCTGATCTCAGGGTCATGGGTGTCTCCTTGGGATTCTCACCGCTCAGTGGGAGAGTATGCTTGGAATTCTCTCCTCTCTGCCACCCAGAGTAAATAAATAAATCTTAAAAAAAAATAAGTGAAGTTTAGAGGAATTTATTAATCCAATCAGCAGATATTTACGGACCACCCACAGTGTGCCAGAAAGTATGGTAGATGTTGGGATGTAGCAGTTTCCTGTCTTCATGGAACTTGTGTTCTTAGCAAAAGAGATAGGCTAAACATATAACTACTTGACTAATTGTGATAAATGCCCCAAAATAAATATTCTGGGTGCTATGTAAGTGTATAACAGCAGGATCCAAGTAAATCTGAGCAGTAAGGGAAGTTTTCTTGAGGATTTTACATGACTAAGACTTAAAGAATGATAGAATTTGGGACGCCTGGGTGGCTCAGCGGTTGAGCGTCTGCCTTCGGCTCAGGGCGTGATCCTGGAATCTGGGATCGAGTCCTACATTGGGCTCCTTGTGGGGAGCCTGCTTATGTCTCTGCCTCTCTCTGTGCCTCTCATAAATAAATAAAATCCTTTAAAAAAAAAAAAAAGAACGATAGAATTTAAACAGAGAGAATATGCACAAAGGCCCTGAAATGAGAATATATTTGAAGTTCCGGAGGGCCCAGATGAAATTGGGAGGGAGGGAAGCAGTGGGGCTTGGATCAAGGGAGGGTATGCAGAGAAATATGGGGATGAGGCTTGGGGAGATGGTAGAGGATTAGACTTAATATTTTAGGTAACCACAGTTATTTTGAAACAATTTAGCCCTGGAGGAAGGTAGGATACAGGGCTTAGCAAAGCTCAACTGCAGCCTAGAAATACAATCTAACAGTTATGCTAGAAGGCCAGATATTTCTTTTCTTTTTCTTTCCTTTTCTCTTTTCTTCTTCCTTCCTTCCTTTCTTTTTTTCATGATCATACTATTACATTTAGCAATCAAAAGCATGGGTGTGGAAAAATGAAACAAAACAAAACTATGACATTAAAACCCTTTGTTGGAATGCTTTACACTTTCCACAGAACAGAAACTGAAATAACCTATTACACAATTAGTCACAAATACAGTCCTCAAGTTTTTTGCCCATACACATGAGTATGGTCTAAAACTTGTCTTTGTAGCAGGTAGGCCCTGCCACCACTGTGCTTGGCTGAATTCACAAATCCATTGTAACCTGTGGCTTCCCTGTCACTTCCCTGGCTCTCCTCTCCTACTAGGCTTTGTTTCCTGGCAGTAATTAAA